CTTCTCTCTCTTCCTTCTCATGTGATAGAGTTTAAGGTATCCAAGTTTTCCTCGTGCACCTGTATCTTTAACAGTATAACCATGAAACTTTGTTATCTTTCCATAGTTAATGCTATAAAATTACTGTTGAATTCTTCTCTACCATTAGCAAAGATATAGCTGTTATATTTAGTAAATATAAGCTGTTAGTTAACACCTGAATTGTCTTAATGTTTACATCATAATCACAGATTTCTTCTCTAGGTTTAAGTGTGGTACATAATAGATTCTTATGGTATGTTAATATCTAATTTATCTTGGATGATACTACTGTAGCTTATTCACTTGATATTAATAAGGTTGCAAATTTGCCACTACACTTCTCTGTAAAGTCAACACTCAGATTACCTTTGTGACATAATAAATGATGAACGAATACATGAAAAAATGTTCAACATTTCCAGCCATTTGAAAAATACAAATTAAAACAACACTGAGATTCCATCTCACTTCTGAAAGAATGGCTACCATTAAGAAATCAAAGCAGTCCGCGCCAACCGCCGGAGACCACTGGGTAAGGCAGACACCAGCAGCCCGCGCCAACCACCAGAGACCACCAGGTTGCCAGAGACCACACTGCACAGACGCCTTGCACAGCATCTCAATCCCCACAGTAGAGGCGACAGGGGGGAACACAGAGGCCATGGTTATGAGCCCCAGAAGATAGAGCAGAAGTGAACAACAGAGAGGGCCTTTCTGACACTCCTCAATGAAAATTGAAGCCCACTGGGAAAGTGAAGAAAATCTCTTCAATAAAAGCACACTAGACCAACGTGGTTGGTAAGTTGGTGGGATCAGCACCTCTCACAGAAACCCGGACTTGCTTATGGGGGAGGACAGCTGGAACCTGCAGTAGAACCTTGCAGAGTTTAATCCTGCAGGAGGTCAGGGACCTCAACTTGGACTTTGCAGCCAGAAATCAGCCTGAATCTCAGTAGACTACAGCTAGATTGCTGAGACTAATCGACGTAGACCCACACACTACTGCCCACATTGTCTAACAGGACAGCAGAGACATAACTCAAGGGAGACCATTTTTTGGTTTGTTTGTTTTGTTTTATATATATATATATATATATACATATATATATATTTTCTTCTCTTTTCTTTTTCTCTCTCTCTATCCCTTCTGGCTCTATATTTCTCTCCCTCTTTGTTCCTGTTCCTGTCCCATTCTGAATTTTTTTTCTCTCTCTGTCCTCTTGACTACCACTTTTATAAAAAGGTGAATAGAATTTCTACCTTCCATATTGTTGTCAGTTTGTTCTGTACATCTCTGTTCTTTCACTCTGCTTCTCCTCCAGTCTTCAACAGATCCCCACAATTTGCATGATCTTCCCGTGTCCTCTAGTCTCACCTCTAACCTTTTCCTCTCCCTTTATCTCTCTACCCCTCCCTCCCTAACCTCTGTTAAATCCTTATCTGGAAGGGTAAACTTGCCATATTAAAGGGTTTACTTACTAAAAACATATTTTGGGCTGGCCCTAGATTTTGATCTAGCTCCTGTGGTTAAAGATGACAGACTAACTGTTACCACAAATTGTCATTTTCTAAGCTGTGTTTGATGCTGATTTTGTCAATTGGGCAAAGGTGTTATGATTGATCTAAACAGTTGTCCTCCCTGGTATACTGAAAATGAGATTGCCTAAGAGTCATTAGAGACTCAAAGCCTAAAAAGTCCAGCTATACCTGGAAGATATCTCTAAGAAGCAATCACTCCATAGGGGCTCTAAACACCATAATAAAGATACACAAAATAAGAAATATTGGAGTATCAGCCCAGGAATTAAAGCAAAAAACAGCACCAACAATAGAATTAAAAATGAGAAGACACCTTGACAGGTCACAAACACAGACTTCCAGCTCACCAAAGGCAAATTCTGGGGGAAACATGGAAAAATATGACAATCAACCACCTGGACACCCTGAACTGATAGCACAAGAAGTAACAAAACAGATGAATGAGGCTCTAGAAAAATTCAAAGCAGAAATAATTTCCCAGATAACTACAGAGATGGTGAGTAGAGTGAAAGACATGATTAGAGGCTCTAGAACAGAAACAGATAAAAAAATAGATGAGCTCAGAACCATGCTGGAAGCCATGAATGCCCAGCATAAGAAAGAAATGGAAACCATGAGCACCCAACATTGGAAAGAAATGGAATCCATGAAACAGATTCAAACAGATATCCAGAAGATTAAAAACTCCATTGAAAGTATTCACAGCACACTGAGCGATTGTGAAGATAGAATATCAGATATAGAACACAGGATTGCGGTTAGTGACCATGAAAAGAGAGATTTCTTCAAAATAGTAAGGGACCATGAGAAATCAATCCAGCAGCTGCTAGATGATGCAAAGAAGAATAACATAAGACTGATAGGAGTCCACAAAAAAGCAGGAGAAAATACAGATGATGTAAAAAAAAACTGTTCACAGAAGTACTAGTAGAAAACTTCCCAGACAGAGGTAGAGAATTGGACATACAGATAAGTGAGGCATATAGAACTCCAACTAGCCACAATAAAAAAAAAAAAGCTACACCTAGACATATAATAGTCAAGATCCCAGAAATGCAACAGAAGAACAAAATCCTATAAGCAGTTAGAGAAAAGAAACAAATGACCTACAAAGGAAAACCCATCAGAATCACAGCAGATTTCTCAAAACAAACCCTGAAGTTAAGGAGAGCCTAAAGTGAAGTATTTCAAACCCTAAAAGAAAATAACATCAACCTAGACTGTTGTATCCTGCAAAATTGTCTTTCAAAATCAATGGGGAAATTAGATACTTCCATGACAAAGAACACCTGAGAAATTTCATGAACAGCAAACCAGCACTCCAAACAATTCTAAAAATATCCTAGAAAAAGACAATGAAGTTCACAACTCCATGAGCCCCAACAGAGCGAAGCCACCAGGCAAGGCAAGAAACTAAAGGGAAAGGGGGGAAAAACAAAAAATAAAAGAGCCAACAACAGTAAAACATCATGACAAGAATGAGTCAATATCTATTGATTATAACTATCAAGTGGGAGGGGTAGGGCAAAGGAAAGAAGGGAAAGGAAAAATTATGAGAAAAGGAAAAAATGGAAACAAAGTCTTTGTAAATAGGGAAGGGAGAATAGGAAATGGGGAAAAAATAAGAACCAAGATATATCATGTAAAGGTACAAGCACCCAATGATAAATGTAATTGTATTGTATACCTAAAATGTACCAATAAAAGAATCTAAGGAAAAAAATAAATCAACCAATAATGAAGTCTAGTGATGCTATGAAGAAGAAGGAACCCTCCTTCATTATTGGTGGGAATGTAAATTGATAGAGCCACTATTGAATTTAGTATGCAGATTCCTCTAAAAAACTAAAGTAAACCACTCTATTTGGCCTGGCTATTCTCCTTCTAGGTATCTTCCCGAAAAAGTTAGAGGCATACCATTGTGATGTGTGCATATCCATGTTTATAGCAGCACAATTCATAATAGTCAAATCTCGGAAGCAACCTATATGTCCATATAGATGAATGGATAAAGAAAATATGGTACTTACACACAATGGAGTGCTACACTGCCATACTAAAAGGTAAGCAAGAGTCATTTGTAGGAAAATGGATGCACCTTGCGACCATAATGTTAAGTAAATCAGATATACAAGCTTAGATGATGCACAGTTTCTCTCATATGAATACCTCAATAGGTAAAGAAAGTGTGAAATAAACAACATATAATAGGAGAAAAGAAGTTATTGTAACCCAGCATGGAGAAAGTATCTAAAAATGTACATTGAATTAAAAATTTCAAATCCCCCCCCAAAAAACCCACAAAGTACAACACAAATTACAAGCTCATATGAAATAAACTAAATATATTTACACAAAAGAAGTCATAAAAGCCAAGGAATGATAAATACCTTATCCTTCTAGCAGTACAGAATACTCTTAAGAGATAATGTGAGAAATCAACAATTTTCTCTGTAGAAGTTGTTAAGTCTGGGACTAGGGAAAGTCACTCTTTTTTAAAAAACCATTTATCTTTCTTTTAAAAAATAAAATTATATGACTCCTCTGCTATAAGCATGAATACACTGCTACAAAAATTTATCAATTTTAAAAAGTGATTATAATAGTTATCTCTGATCACTAAAGAACCATTTAAATGTGAAGTTTAATGTATCAAATAAGAAAAAAAAGTCAAAATTCTTCAAAATAGTATAATCACTCCATATTTCTGTATATGTTAACTGTGGTCTTTAAGGAATAATAAATAGAGCACAAAAAAATTCCATGCTTAATTGAACAATCACTTCTGCAATAGCTAATGAAACATATATAATATGTTGAAACACAATGCCAAAAAAGAGTGAACCTCAGTAATTATGGGAATGAGAAGTTACCTAAAAGTATGAAAGTTATAGGTGAAATACACAAGAAATTATGGATTGAAATATAAACATAGCATTCTACTATTAAATCAGTAAACATATTTATTGGGTATCAGATTTTGATATCTATCCAGAAAATCTACTCATAACTAAAACTATGAAATTTCCTAGAAAGGAAATTGATAAGTAATACAAATGTAGTGGGAAATACTATATAGTCCATATGGCACTAATCTTACTCCAATTTCATGAAAACTTGTGAGTCATTAGAATCACTATGTCATTTTCTCTTACATAGTGAATCAGCAAATCCATGTCCTCTTCTCAGAGAAAATTAAAATTTTATAATTTTATATATAATACACGTATTAAACAAAAGTAATATCTATTTTAAGATGAACAATAACACTCATGCAAAACAAAATTTAATATGTTAATCTATGTTTGACACTATGTACTAGGGAAAATTATACACACACACACACACACACACACACACTACTCAAAAATTTCAGTCAAACACTGAATTCTAATAAATCAGAATCAGGAATTTAAATTTTTTTTAAAAAGAAAATGTACCTTTTATCTGGGTAGCAAAATTCAGGGTCAGTTTTGCAAAGAGATCTGGATTCTCAAACTTTTCTTCTTTTACTTTTAACCAGAAACAGTTCTCAGATAATTCTTTGGGATCAATCTAAAACAAAAGTAACAAATACAAGCTTCTAAACTGTTACTTTATATTTAATTTTTGAAAGAATTCATTTTCACTGAGGATGAATCATAATTCTTTTGTTCATCTACCCACGAATCAATTTTAGGATGTTTCAAAATAGCCATCTAAGAGTAAATATTCAGTGGAAAACCCTCAGAATTCTGTTGGTATGCAGCCAAGTTAAACAATATCAATAGGCTATATAGCAAATTACATTTAAAAAAATCTTCTGCTGAAAATAACCTTAAAAATAATACAATAAATCCCCCTTGAACTCACATATATTCTTCTCACTTCTAGATTTTTGAAAACTGGGAAGCTGAGATATAGAAAAATGAATTTCTTATGCTCCCTGATTATGCTGAAGGCAACAGACATAATAATACCTAATAATACATACTTCCTACTATGCATTAGGTACTGTGTAGGTGATTTGCAATATTAACTCATCTGATCCTCACTATAATCCTTTAATGCAGAACCTCTATGTTGAAGACAAGGAAAGTGAGCACTATACAGTTTAAGTAGTTGCCCAAATGAGTAAATGGCAAGGTGGGATAAAAAGCCAGTGCAGTTCAGAGGATGGTCTTAACTACTACACTGAAATCCAACACGTGAATTTTGCACTTGGAGTATATCATGATGTTTCAGTGATATGTAAGTGCCACAGCAATGTGTGATAAAATAGTAAACATATTATTACATTTACATACATAGATAACTAGTCCAAATATTTTGACGGACTGTGCCTCATTAAAAATAACTACCCTGTTGGTCTAGGAAAGTAGCTCAGTAGTAGAGCACCTGACTAGTATTCATAAGGCACTGAGCATAATCCCCAGCATTGAAACAAAAAGCTGTTCTAAAATAATTTATACCTCATTTACCCATGAGCAGAGCATAAGTATATGTGTATAAGTATATGTGTGTGTGTGTGTATATACATATATATATATATATATATATCTGGTACCGGAGATCGAACTCAGTACCTTGCACTTGCAAGGCAGGTGGCGGAACCACTGAGCTAAATCCCTGGCCCTATGCTGAATTTTTAAAAATGATTTAATCAAACCAACTTACTAAACAGACCCATTATGATATGACCTTTATGCTCTTCAGTATAGCTAATTGTATTTTCACTAGAAAATAAATTCCCAAGAATGAGGACTGTGATAATCTTATAACTTTAAAAAAAATATTATTCGATGACAATAATAATAAGCCATGATAACACGTAGAAGAAAGCGTTTTCATTCAGCATATTTAAAAAACCATCAGGTTACAACACTACTGAATATAGTCACCTACTCCAAACTACTATATGAAAGTATAAAACTGAAAAAAATTTCCTAAGAGCAAAAAATAGTAATATAACGAGGCTTAATAACAATAAAAATATTTTTAAAAGTTAAAGTACTTAACAATAATAAAAGAATCAAAATCGGTTTTCATTTATTGATAAAATACAAACATTATTTTGTAAACCATTTCAGTATTCTTTTTGAAAACCTCATAATCTCAAAGTATCTAGGGAATTTCCACTTATCTCTAGGTAGTTAACTGGAACATGGACTAATGGTGAACTTGTAAAGCAAAGGAGAGCAATACAGTCAGTAGTCATCATCTCAAACATTAGGTACTACTTATACATAGGAGTGCAGTTATCACTGCTGTACAAAGTCAAAAACTCTAGCTAAAGCATTACCTTTGACCAGTTTATTCTCTTCATGGACACTTCAGGTTTATAAATTTTTTTGTGCTTCATTCCATAAGGAAGATCAAGTGGTGCTCCTGGGGGAAGAGGAATTCCTCCAAGGGGTGGTGGTGCAGGAGGCCCCCCAATCAAAGGTGGCAGTGGTGGTGGTGGCGGTATTGGTCCTATTCCATGTAATGGAGGTGGTGGAGGAGGAAGAACTCCTGTAGGTAGAGGTGGTGGAGGTGGAGGTGGTGGTGGAGGTGGCCCAGCACCTGGCACTGGAGGTGGTGGAGGAGGGCCTAGAGGTCCTAATGAACTTGAAGGTCCATGTCCCTGAAATAGAAATAATCCAAGTTTAAACGCTTATAATAAAATGCAGCATAAAGAATACATGTCAGTAGATATTTATGGTTTGGTGAAGATTATATATGGCTTAATTAATTTTACAGGTTACATACTGTAATAGTACACACAAAAACTTACATAGACTTTTGATAAGCATTATAATCTCTGGACAGTGACAGCTTCTACTAATTAATCAACATTAGGAAAGCTGACATCCTCTAATATTTATAAAATAATCCTCTAAAATAATGAAAAATTATCTTTCATTATAAATACTTCCAAAGAAGAAGTAATGCACATGGCCTGAGCGTTTTAGACTAGCTGGTCTGAATATAGAATAATTAATACAAGGTCATGGATTCAAATCCCTTGGAAGGCAATTAGCCTTACACAAGAGTCTGTTTCATAGCAACAGTAACTCAACCATCTTTTAAAACCTATAATTAGGCTGTGTGTGGTGACATACACCTGTAATCCCAGCACTCATGAGGCTGAGGCAGAAGGACCACCACAAATTCAAGGCTAGCCTGGTCTCTGATCTACATAGTGAATTCAAGGCCAGCCTGAACTGTATAGTGAAAGCCTGTCTCAAAAAAAAAAAATTAATACTAAGTACCATCCATTTGCATTATAATTTGATTGTTAACATTTTTACATCCATCATTTCTTTTATCCTTATTATGACCTTGTAATGTAGATAGGGTATTTTTATGTCACGCAATTACACTGCTTACAGATGAGGAAACTATAAGTGCTAAAAAGTTAAATTACTGAAAAAGGTCACATAGTCTGAAATGCAGTTTGAAATCTGGCTGTTCCCGCAGTCAATGCAATCCTCTTTTACTACAGTAGCCCTTCTCTTCTGGAAGGAATGGGTGTCATGCCAGGAGAAAAATTAATTCACACTGACTACAAGAAGAGAATAACTTATTTCTACTATGGGAAAGTAACTTCAAGTTCATTCTGTAATGGCAATGGATAATGGATGAAAAAGAACACTGCATTCAATATTGTCTTCTTTTCTGATGATTACTCTGTACACATTTCTTTAAACTACTACTGATCACAAGGGTTCAATTTTTAAAATGCATAAAAAAGTGGAGCTATTCACTACAAACATTTCCAAGAAACCACTACCAATGAACAGATATCTTTGGTAATCAAGATAGGATATTAGATTAATTGAATAAAGGGATTAAAACTATTAAATTTCTTGGCATAGCATTATTTTCATTTGGGAAAAGATCCTTTTGTATCAACACAAATTTTCTATTTGAACTACTGTATAATAAACAGAAATATTTTTACAAAATAAATAAGTTGGAACATATTTTTAGAAGAATCAATTTAAATGATTTCCTATTTACAAAAATATTAAAAGTTAACACACATATCTAGACAGGATCATGGAAATATTTCCCATGATATTCACTCCACATTGACCAAGTATTTTCTTCACATATATGTTTATGTGTGTATATAAATACATATGACTAAAGTGTTTCTATACTTAAGAAATGACAGTCCTCCCTTAGCGTGAAATCCCTGCCTAAGACCAGGAAAAATCAGAATTAAAATGTACAAAATTACTTTATTTTTAAAGTAAAACTACTATTTTAAAAGTTTGATTTTTTAAATCCTGACTGAGATAAAATAACTGTGGGGAAATTAAAAGTTCAGGAAATTAGTAGTATATCCTACAAGTTTTGTGTATGCATTTTTCAACACAGTACTTTTGAAAGGCGAAAGCTGTGTTCCATTTTAAATAGCATAAAGAAAAATTAAGAGAGAGCAAACAGACATATTTATAAACAGCAATTTTTTGTCTCAGGTATCTGTTATAAAATTTGTGAAACCACAAATTCAGCATGTGCAAGGTCCTAGGTTGAACCCTAGCATCATCAGAAAACAAAAAATTTAAGACGAAAAAGGATCATACTCAAGGTAAATGCATATTTTACCTATTGAGAATGTTTAATATTTATATTTAAAAGCTTTTAAAAACCAATCATATCAACCCTTTTATTCCCTTGCATGAGTAATTAGGAATTGAACAATGAAATTAGGCAACAATATAGTATTGTGAATCACACATAGCACATGAATGATTTAACATTTGATACTATTTGGTGCACACTAAAGAGTGTTGTGTGACTGTACTTTTTTGGCTAATTTAGTAATTAATAAGTAACTAATCTTTGAGTAAGGCCTTTGCTAGATACAGTAGTGCCTTAAGAATAAAAAACACATATACCTCATGATTCTTACACTCATGTGGAAGAAAGAGAAAGCATGTAAACAAATACAGTATGACTGGTCTAAAAATGTAATATAGAAGGTTAGAGAAATTCCCTAATGTAGTTTTTACTGAAGCTTTCCAAGGGATGTCTGAGTACTGAGTTTCTCCTTTAAAGGATATGTTTCACAGGTACAGATGAGCAAAAAATGGCATTTCTGAGAGAGAATATCATAAGCCAAATTTCTCAACTAAATTAAATGAAAACACTATTTCCAGAATAAGTTAATAGGTTTTCTGAATGTAAAGAGTTCTGTGGTTAAATGAGTCTTAAAAAGCTGTATGAGAAAGAGGTTTCTTCAGTAAAGGACACTTGGACCCTTTAATATATTAATGAGTATTGTGCTGCGCCAAAAAGGAATTTTATGTGTACCCAATTAAGTGAACTATAGAATGATTTCCTTATAAAACTCCATTAGCATCTCTGTAACTTATGTTTGAGAAATGCTGGCAGAAGGAAATGTATAGAGGGAGTAAGTTGCAAACATAATAAGAGGGAAAGGTGACTTAGCCGGAGCTGATGCTGCAGGCAGAGGAGCAGTCACACCCTAGTCTGCAAAGGGGGCATAAGTGATCCCATGCCAGAAGGTCCTAAAATTCTAAGTAAGGAGATTTTATTTAATGTGTACTAAACCTGCAACCATTGAACATATGAAAGCCAAGGGTAATAATACTGAGGTTAGTGTTTTAGGAAGATTAATTTGCCACTTAGCATACAGGATGAATTTGAAAGGGAAGAGAATATAGACCAGAGAAAAATGAGAAAACAACTGTAATAATTCAGGTAAGATGTAATGAGTAGACCTAAGGACTTCTGGGTTTTGATGCAAGAGGGGGAAAAGGACATAAAACAGTGACTAGCTTAATTTGCCATAAGTAGGGCAGCAAAAAGGGAAAGAAAACTCCAACTTAACTAAAAAGTGGTGGTAAAATTTAAACAAAAAATAACGGAGACAAAGCTGGTTTGAGGAAAGACAAGATCAGGAATACTGATTTTGATTTCAATATGCAGCAAACCTTCCTATGGGAATAGCTAATCAAAATCTGGAAATATAAAACAAATTCAAAAGACCTGGCACATATTTAATGGTATTATATCAAGATATGATACTGAATAGGAATTTGAGCAAGAATATATACAGAAAAGAAAAAAGTAGACAAGAGAGCCAGGCATGGTGGCACAAGCTCATAGTCCCAAAACTCTGGGAGGCTGAGGTTGGAGGATTGCAAGTTTGAGCCCACTCTGGGCAAATTAGCAAGATCCTGTCTCAAAATATAAATGGGGGCTGGGGGAGCACTAGATATCATGCAGCTCAATGTAAAGGCCATGGCTTCAATCTTCAGTAACAAACAAACAAACAAAAGCCAACAACAACAACAAAACAGTAGAGGACCGAACACTGAAAAATGCCACCAGTTAGGGGGTGAAAAGATAAAGAGAAATATTCAGACATTTTAAAGGGTAAGTCACACTATATAAAGAGAAAAGAGAGATTTAGTGAAAAGAAATTATATTATATTAGAGATAAGTGATGTAAGCTAAAGATAGGAAAAGGTCATCCCATTCAATACTTAGTTGTTTCCTGGTTACTTCTGAGGTAATTTTTCAATAAACTGATAGAAGCAGACCCAGTCAATCAAACAATACCTATGGAGTATTCACTATGTAGAGACATCCTCTTCAATTTCCTAGTATTCATTTATAACTTATAACATGTTAATGAGAGTACTTGGTCAATTCTAAAGTTTAGATGCCCTAATTAAAACTTTAAGTGCATATGGGAGCTTTTCATCCAAGGGAATGGAGATGGAAATGTAAAGTGCATAGGCTTTGAATGACAGTATTCTAGATTTAAAGAGAATTCAAGGAGCTTTTGGGATAATTAAAATTAATGAGCATTTTCATGTTCTTTTTGAAAAAAATACTATGCACTCAATTTCTCAAATCATCATGAAAATTTCATCTCGAAAACAATTTTGCCATTGTAATACATTTCATTAAAATATTCAGGAAAGTTTAAGCAACTGATGCATTATTTTTTCAAACCTTAAAAATGATTTACAGTCCTAGAAAATAAAATCTGTGATTATTTCAAATAAAATGTAAAGTTGCCAAAAAAGTCTGCTTGCAGTTACACTTTTCCTTCCATCCTACAAGATAATTTTCTACCATCAAATTCACTGTGTCATGACACAAAGTCTGTATTTTGTTTCAATACCTGGGTCCGAAGTTGCTGGATTTCTGTCTCAAGTTCTTTGATTTTTTCTTCTCTTTTTTGAAGCTCAGCTTGAGCTTCCTGTCGAGCTGTGAATTCTTCATCAAACTGAAATAATCACCACCATAAATGTACAGTTAATAATACACTTTTGAGAAAGCTTTAAAGAACATTGGTAAATAAGTGGAGTGAGTTTCACCTAGTTGAATTCCTCATCACTCAATACCAGAGCTCTTGATTATTTTCATGAAAATTAAGCATCCATGTTGAGGTAGGGCACTGTTTCTGATGGTAGTGAAAGTAATGAAGGAATATATACCCTCCCACCCAAAGTAAAACTATTTTCACTTTTGAAAAATAAATATTAAAAAAAGTGGACTGAAAAGTCTTTCATGTATAATACATGATTTTGTGTTGTTGAAAATTTGATTTTAGAATTAATGTTTATTAATGTTTCATCCTGTACATTTAAGATTAGAAAATCAAATCTAAAAATACAACAAGCAGTTTGAAATCATAAAAAGAGATTACACTTTTAGATTGCTCAAATGAATGGACATTAATGCAAATTAGAATATATTTATTAAAATCACAACTGTCTAGCATCCAAAAAGTTGAGTTCCACAAAATCAGGTAATAGAACAATACACGGTATAGTAACAGTTTCTGTCAGATGGTTAACCAAAATATTTGAATGACATGCTATAAGAGGGAAAATGAGAGATTAAAATATAATGTGCTAAGCCAAAAAGACTATCAGAATGGTGAATATTCATTCCCTGCATCCTGCTCCAGCCCTTACTGCAGAGTTCTAAGCAGGCACAAACCAGCCTGAATATTTACAATGAATACTGCCTACCTCCCACTACAGAACATTTTATTTGCTTTATTGTCAATGTCACCTTAAGTCAGTGCAGAAATCTATACATTATTTAAACAATATTATTTGTGTTTCCAAAAGTGACATATCCAAAATTATCTTTATAGTTTGTGCAACAATACAAATGTATGTCCACTGTAATAAATATTCATCATGATAGATTTGACCTTTGAAAATTATACAATGACATTCTGATATAAATCTGAAGAAAAGGTGGCTGGCCAAAAGGGATAATAATAATATTTAGCTCAAACCTAAAATATTAGTTAGAAATGCTTTTACCTATCTCTACTTCAGTCTCTGGAAAATGTCCCATAGAAATTGATGCAGATCATCTTTAATATTTTTAATTTTCAAAAGCATCCCAGATACATGAAGTGAAGGATTCATAAATCTTTGAATAACTTTGTTTTCCTAGTTCACTAAGAAGTTGAAGGTCCTTCAATGTTACCTTATTCAAGTTCACTACTTCCATGTTAAGATTTATCTGAAGCTATGTTCCCATCCTAGCCTCCTACAGTTGTCTTCTTTGTGTTTCACAAATGTGACATCTACACAAATTCACAGTGTGCCAGTTTTCCTCTATACAAGGCTTATTCGTACATTTGAAAGGGGCACACAGTGTTTCTCCTTTTAATTTAAAATTGTGTTAATCTGTAAAAGCAAATAGAAATCACAAAAGTATAAAATATATGAGTTGGAGGAGCTCTCACACATACATTAATTTTATCTTGTCCTTTTAATAACGAAGCAAGTAAGATCCAAGGAGTATAAGTGTTTTACTTAAAGTCATAGCTAATTATTGGAAATCATAGAATCAGATCTTGTAACTTCTGCCTCTCATTCTAACACTTAAAAAAAGCACTTTATACTGCTTCTTAAAATAATCTAGGGGCTGAGAATGTAGCTCAGCAGCACAGCACCTGCCTGGCAAGCATGAGGCCCTGAGTTTGATTCCCACTACCAACCCCCCCCCCCAAAAAAATCTAGAATAAGATAATGCATGGAGATAATCATTGGTTGATCGCCATGCATGTTTCCATTCTAAATGTTGGCAATGAAACTAGAGTATAAAACACTGAAAATTCTGATTTCAGAACTACTTTTTTCATATATTCACACAGAAAACTTTACTAGATTGATAATCACAATTAGCTCCATCTTATGATTTCTAATTACAGTGCCAGTGAAAAATTGAGGGGATTTGAAGATTTTCAAAGGGAATTTAAGACCTGCTCCTTAAGAACATTAGAAATATAAAGGTCTATTAATGAAAACACATGCATTTTCTTTCATCAATAAAAATGACAGCTTCACACAAACATTGTATGTCAAGCTCAAGCTCTTAAAAATTTATTCTAGTAACTGAAAGATCAAAGACATTTCTTCAGATGCTCTCAGTAACTATAATTTCTAGAGTGATAGCAAAAGTGATTACCTAATCTCCAAGGTAAGTCATAACTGTGAAGAAATAGCAATATGCAAGCACTTTATCTTGCTGTCAGATGGCTGAAAACTGGAGAGCATTTAAATGTGTGCTTCAATCCTTTTCCCTATACTCAACAGGAGAGAAATACTATACTAATGTTTAATTGGATCTAAGGAAGGGAGTGAAGGAGGAAGGGAAGAAGTAACGGAGGAAGGGAAGGACGGAAGAAGAGGCAGGAGGGAGGGAGGAAAGGAGTGAGGGAGGGCTTTTAGTAGAAGCTAATTATAGCTATGCTTTCATGAAACAAGGAAAAGACCATCAGATCTAAATAAAATAGATAACTCATAAGACATTAACAAGTCTCAAGTTCCATCAAGTCTACACACATAAAGTAGCACCATCATTTAACAAAAAGCAATTACAAAATTCAAACAAAATAAGTAAGCAGTGGGGAAAGACTGAGATCACTGCAACTACAATGTTCCATAGCTATCATTAGCATTGAGGTTAAAGATCACAGTTTTAAAGACCAGCTAAATATTTCACATTTCTCCCAGGAATTACCTAATTTAAGTGAAAGCTATAGGAAGGTAATGAGGGAATTTATTTTGGTTGATTGCTTCTAAGAATAACTTTTCAGCTCTAATTTTATTTCATTTATCACATTAGTATAATATAGCTAGCATTTTTCTTCCATAATAGATTAGAGATGATGATGAGGGAATAAAACCAACCTTATCTTATTAGGAAATAAAGCAATATTCTGTTCTTTGGTTTGAATATAGAAATATAAAGTACTACAATGCTGAAACAACAGTTATAGGTTGCAAATAAAGAAACAGGATAAAATATGTGCTGTGATTAAATTATTAACAATCATATCTAATTTCTATAAGTCTTACCTTCTTTGAAAATTCCACTGCTTTTTGTTCACTTTCTTCAACTTTTGCCTTGTTTACACAGGAATCTAGTAAGATATACCAAAAATGATTAGAAATTATGGCATGAAATTTCTAGCCAAAAGATGGCTGCCACTCTACAATTCTATGGAGACTATCCTTTGCAAGGCAGTTTCTCTTCAAAGGAAATTGACTTATACTATATATAGAACAAACCACCAGTTTTTCATTTTTTAGTATACTAAGTCAATTGAGTGATAGTATTTTTGAAGCACAAAACCAAGCATCCATTTGGTCATTATTATTTTAAAGATATTTAATCATGTTTTAATTTCCACAATTTTCAACTTCTTCAAAAATTTTTTGGTAGTTTATTATGAATAGAGGGGTAGCAAAGACTCCATGTTAAAGATTATCAAAATTCAAAATTATCCTCAAAAATTCTAAGATAGAGTAACATTCATTAATTCAGAATTCCCAGTGAAAGATTTTACTTCTGATATGAGGCAATCATGTACACAGAGAAACAAACTTGGAACTTCACAAGTCCAGTCATACACTTCATAATATAAATAGTGAAGCTGGGTACAATGATGCAAGTCTGTAATCTCAGGTACTCAGGAGGCTGAGGCAAAAGGATCTTAAGTTCGAGTTACTAGCTTTGGCAACTTAACAAGACCATCTCAAAATAAAATATTATAAAAGAGCCAGGAATGAAACTCAGTGGTAGATTGCTTGCTTGACATGCATATGAGCCAGAGTTCAATCCTGAGCACTGCCAAATAAAAGAAAAAAAATATAATTCCTTATATATAATGAAAGAACCTCTTTTGGGCAGTATTACAGTCTATTGTGTAACTACCCATTCAATATCTATTTACTCAAAAGAAATGAAAACATATGTCTGTACCATATGTGAATGCTCATAGCAGCTTTTATGTGAATGTTCATAGCAGCTTTATTAGGAATAGCCAAAAACTGGGAAAAACACCCAAACGATGATCAACATGTATATGTATAAACCAATACTGGTATATCCATGTACTGGAATATTACTCAACAATATAAAGGAAGGCACTATTGATACACACAATACAACAACATGTATGTATCTCAAAATAATTATGCTTAATAAAAGAAAAAAGAGCACATACTGTGTTCTCATTTATATGAAATTTTAGCAAATGAAACTGATAAGAAAGAAAGTATAAACAGAACTAGTAAGAAAGATCAGTGCCTATCTTAGGATAAAGAGAGGTGGGAAGCATGGGAAGGAAGGACTAAAAGAAGAATTCAGAAATTTTAAGAAGTAATAGAGAACTTATTATCTTGACTGAGATGATACATAAATATGACATGACTATTTCCAATATATGTACAGTATATTATATATATGTATAATCTCAGAATTTAGCAGAGTACACACTTTAAATATGAGGAGTTTTTCTCTTGTCAACTTTACCTCAATAATTTTTTTTTTCTTTTTATGTGTGGCTGGAGCCAAGTAACCAAGGAGGAAAGTGCTGTGTTAAAGTCAAAGGGGAGGCCATATCTATGCTATGCCAGAGATAGTAATGCCTTTGACTTTGATTTAAATTTCAATGGGCAATCATTGGACATTTTTAGGCAAGGATCTCATATGATTTAATTTATGAGAGATATTAAACTTACAGAATTGTGAAATCATAAGAGACTCTAATATTCTTAAGTTTAAGTGATCTTAAAATAGAAGTTCTTCAAGCATTTAATAACTTCTGTGGGAATTCGTGTGTGTGTGTGTGTGCCCATGTGTTCTAATGAATGTTCTACATAAATCATTAGCTTATCAAAAAGGACTCTCAACATAAAATATTAAGAACTACACGTAACTTTGACTTACCTGATTATAGAATTGAAGAAACTAAAATCTAGAGAGGTTAAATGATTCAAGTAAAATCACAGAGCTAACATGTGAATGAAGTCATAATAGATCTATGTTGCAGACTATTGTCTCAGCTTATCCCTTCCTCCTCAATGGTTTTGATTACCAATAAAACAATCCTAAGTACCTGGCACATAGCACACACAAAAAATGTCTGTTGAACACCGAAAAAGCTAGCCAAAATCAACAGTAGACTCTATGTGCCAACTAGGGTTCCTAATAGATGATAAGCCAATATACTCATTTGAAAATAGTCCTTTGTGACTCCATTCACAAAATACAAAATAAATTACTGGCTATCCAACTCAGTGAAAAATATGCAGTGAGGCCAGGGTCCACATTCATTTCTGAGGAAAGTAAATTGGCACAAGTGATCTGAAAAATATGTAGCCCTTGAAAATCCATACCCTCATTTATTGCAATAAATCCTAAGGAAATAATGAGAATGGCCCAAACACTACAATGTTCATATCAGATTCCTTTATAATTCAGGTGAAAACCTGAAAACAATCTAAATGTGCAGTAAGAAATGATTAGTTAAGACAGTCCGTAAGATCGAACAGTATACAGACATTAAAAGTCCCATTTTAAAAGTTACAATAAAAAACTTCTCATTATAATGTTCCATGAAAAATTACCATACACATAGATGAGAGATGAGACAGGCAAGTAGGCTTATAGATAGTGCATAAGGAAATGTGCAGGGCTGAAAAAGGAGTAGTGGTGATTTGACTGGTGATCTGTCACTTATATTGTCTAGTGCTTTCAGTAACTGTGGATTATATTTAAAAACAGAAAAGAATACATAATAAAGAATAAAGTATACATCTTTATTACTGCAAATCTATCCTATGTTATGGAGAAATAAATAATATAAACTTGGTGGTCAACAGCTGCTGTTTTCTTTAAAGACAAGTGAATTTATGCATGAACTTTACCACTACTGATTTCAATTAGGTATAAAAAACACTGCTTAACTGTAAGGCCATGTAGCAAAGCATATTTCACAAGAGAAGTTTCACTTCATCCTTCAGCGACTGTTCTGGGAAGTATTGCTATCATTCTAGGCTGATAAAAAGTCATTTTCTCAGCAATCTAAAGAAATGAATTTGGGCCAGGGATTTAGCTCAGTGGTGCTGCCACCTGTCTCGCAAGCGCAAGGTCCTGAGTTCAATCCCAGGTACCGAAAAAATAAAAAAGAAAGAAAGAAAGAAATGAATTTGATAATCTCAAATTCTTTCCTAGCTCTAAGGTCTATGAAAATACAAATTTATCTATCTGATAGCCTTTTAAAGGCCTTAAGTTGATGAAATAAGCTTGTTTCTTTTCTTAAACTTGAGCACTAATAACATAGCTATAATACTAATACTCAGCATAAAGAGAAGTTAAGGATTTTTGATTCATGCTTCTAAAATACAAAGCATTCATCTATAATAACACAATGTTTTTTTCTGGGTACACTGACTTTAAAATGAGTTCAGTAGTGTTAAAACTTATCAACTGGGTTAATATAATCACACAAGCAGAACTCTCATAGTAATCATAATTAATAATTACAGCAATTAGGTACCTTAAGACATAATGATTTGCTAGATAGTAACAGAACAAGTTAAGTGAGAGATCTACCTTTAAAAATGCCCATTTACGGGCCAGGGATTTAGCTCAGTGATTTCGCCACCTGCTGTGCAAGTGCAAGGACCTGAGTTTGATCCCTGGTACCAAAAAAAAAAAAAAAAA